AACAATTTGGAATTGTTTGTTGGTTTATAGAGTACTGTATGTATTAGCATAATTACAGTTGCCTTATTGGTGAGAGGGCAGCATATAAATAAGTAAAATAAAACAAACAAACAAACAAATAAATAAATAGCATTTATTTACATACATATTTTCCCTAATTTCAGTGAGAGTAGATAATTGTTATATCATTTTGCAATCTTCTTCTTTAAGAAGTAAGTATATCTAGAATTTTTAGTAACTCCTTGGACTTGACTCTGGGCTTGGAATAAAAGCAGGACAAAAATGATGACGTTTGGTTAGTATTTAGATGGAAGATTACCAGACTGCAGGCTAGATTGGGAAGTGGGCAAAATATCTGGAAGAAGGGCATGGCAAACTACTTCTGAAATCCTGCCAAGAAAAATGCATGATGTGTCCAAGCTGTCATTAAAAATTAAGCCAACACCAAGTTAATTTTTACTTTCTTACTATAGATATATTTTAATAGACACTTAACAGAATAATGGCATTCATATTAAACTGGCAATTATTATTGTACATAGGACCATTACATAAATATCTTGCCTAAAAAACTCATGATAATCCTGATATGCAAACTATAAGAAATAACAAACTGGTAATTTATAGGTCCAAGGCCACTGAAAAATGATGCAGTGGAAATATTAATTTTTCATAATGTTAATGAGAAGAATTATAATTAGGCAATAACACTTTGTCTTAAACACATTTCTACATTAAGCATATCCTTCTTCTTAGGATTTCTGTTTGGAAGTTGATATCAGACTTTTGTCTCCTAAATTATGCGATAATTCAATGTACATTATGGATTTTATCCAAGTTAAAAGTCCTACATAAATTTTATCTTTAAAATTAATGTGCGGGAAATGATTTATCTGCATAACAGAAGAAGCTAATACTGATGAGTTCAGAATACACAGTGAAAAAAGGAGGATAATCTATATTAAAAGCAATAATTGCAAGCAAATGCAAGTTTGAAAATCTCACATTCGAAATTGACCCCATTACACCTTTAAATTCTCATGATGTTATTTTTTACGGTAGAAAAGACAAAGATTTTACTCAATGCACTGATGTAAGGACTTCATATATATTAGGAAGTGGCTCTCCTAATATATACAGCTAATGTGCTATCACCTGCTTCAGGATCCCTTCTCATTTTCCCTTGGCTGAGAGAGCCATTATGGGGGATTCAAGAGGTGGTTATTCTTTGCTATGATCTCTTGATTCTGGAAGATTCTTCCTATGGAGGTTAGGATTGTATCAATGCAACCTGCAACCTGCTTTTTGCAGCCAGATGAAAATGATGTCTAGTTTAATGAAAAGAAAGACTATGGGCGGCATGATAGCAGTGTTCCAATACCTAAGGGATGCCACAAAGAAGAAGGAGTCAACCAGTAGTGGGTTCCTACCGGTTCGCCCCAGTTCGCGCGAACTGGTAGTGGCGGCGGCGGGAGGCTCCGCCCACGCACCCGGACATCATCACGGACTGTCTGCGCATGCACAGAAGCACTGCGTGCACACAAAGGATGTGGGGTCGTGGTCACGTTTCCGAACTGGTAGCAAAGGTAAGTGGAACCCACCACTGGAGTCAACCTATTATTCAAAGCACCTGAAGGTAAGACAAGAAGCAATGAATGAAATTAATCAAGGAGAGAACCAACCTAGAAATAAGGAGAAATTTCCTGACAGTTGAAATAATTAATCAGTGAAATGACTTGCCTTCAGAGTAGTGGGTCCTCCGACACTAGACATTTTTAAAAGAGACTGGAAAACCATTTGTCTGAAATGATATAGGGTTTCCTGCTTGAGCAGGGTTGGTCTAAAAGACCTCCACGGTCCCTTCCAATTCTGTTATTCTGTTATAAGATTTGGTGTTTCATCTTATTTTTGGAATTACGTACCTAAAGCATAACCATACCTTTCTATCACTATAATTTTAATTATTTTTATAAACGAAATAATTGTTCAGTTTAATTCATGATTTTGTTTTTGGCTGGTTTGCATGGATATGGTTTACTACATATAATGGGCACATTATAAATATTAGAAATGCTTTTCAACATTTTTATAAATCATTTAGAATTTTAGATGAAGAAGCAGAAGGGATACTCATCAAATTTGAGGATGGCACAAAGATGGGGGATTGCTAACACTTCAGAAAAATTCAAGATTTTAAAAGATCTTGATAGACTTGAACTTTGGGCACTTTCCATCAAAACGCTGTCCACTGAGGAGCAAAGTAATATTCTCCTCTAGGTAGGTAAAAAGCAGATGCATGGGTTACAAAACAAATGATTCCTGGCTTAGAAGTAGTACTTTGGAGAATAATCCAAATATTTTGGCAAACTATAGATGAAAACAAGTGTGCTGCAGCTACCAAAACAGTCAATGCAACCTTGGACTGCATCAGTTAAGATACAAATGGCAAGATGATGGGAAGTGATCATTCTATGCTGCACTGGGAAGATCACACTTGGAATACCATGTGAGGAATTGTTACAGAGAAAACTGTATAGCTTTATTCTTCATAGTGCAATGAGAGCAGCACAAAAATGGAGAAAATAATTTTTAAAGAGAGTTATCTATACCTGAAATAAGGAGGAAAATCCTCATTTTGAGAGCTATTAATTAGTAGAACAGCCTGCTTTATCACCAGAGGTTTTTAAGCAAAGTTTAATCAGTCATTTGTCTGGGATAGTCTGAGGGTTCTTACTCTGGGCAGAGGGTTAGACTACAAAGGTGCTAAAGTCCTTTCAAACTCTATGATTTTATGAAACAAACAGGCACACTTTCTGAACTCTTTGATGTCTGCAAGTGCCTATGTCCATACGCTAGATAATGAAATAAACAGGTCTTAATCTAAAATAATATCATAACTGGAACAATCTTCTGGAGATTGCAATTTCATACTTGTCTAGCTGTGAATAAATTCTATTCAACTCATTTATTTCTGAACAGACATGTATACTGTTAAACTTTAAATCTAGTTTAATATTACAAACTGTATATAAAGACCAGGAACATTAAATTCTAACTAAAATCTATGGATTTAATGCTATTGATCACACAGTTTCTTTTTTTTTTATTTAAAAAGTTTTAACAATCATTACAACAATTTTCCCACCTCCCACCTCCCCATCCCCCCTCTCCCTCCAAACCCCCTCCCCCCCGATACCTACCCCCCGGACTTCCCAGAACAAAAACAGGGTATAGCATAACAAACATAACCTAAATTAAGCTAACTTTCTGTGGTCTCCAAACTCCCCCTTGCTCTTTAACTCCCCTTTCAACTAACTAAACATATTCAAAAAGAAAATATAGATTTCATTCATAAGCTATTTGAAACTTTTTAGTCCGATATTTGTTTTGAATATAGTCAATCCATCTTCTCCATTCCAATATATATCTTTCATTTGAATTGTCCTTCAAATACACTGAAATTTTAGCCATCTCTGCTAAATTCACTACTTTTAGTGTCCATTCTTCAATAGTAGGCAAGTCTTCCTTCTTCCAGTACTGTGCCACCAAGAGTCTGGCTGCTGTTATTAAATTTAAAATCAACTTAGTCTCTATAACAGTACAATCTGTAATTATGCCTAACAAAAAGAACTGTGGAGTAAATTTTATCTTCTTTTTGAGAATATTTTGAATAATCCACCATATTTTTATCCAAAATGCCTTAATTTTTTTACATGTCCATCATATATGATAATACGTGGCATCATCACATGATCACACAGTTTCTTAATGTTCATTAGGCATTTATGCTTCTGTTTCACTATGGACATAATTTCTAATTTATGCCTGCCAAGTGCATTTTATTTATATATTTAGCTTTATTTAATTATTAAAGTAACTTGGTTGCTTTTAGTTATTTTTCTTTCAACAAAAGTAATGGATTAAGTACTTTTAACATTACTTACAAGCAGCAATGTATATAACACACTATAGAATGAAAATGCATCATGATTTTGTATTGTTCCTATATTTATTATAAATACACACACACATATACATTTAACACACAATTCTAAGACAAAATTGCTACTCAACGCTTACGATACAATAGTTCTCTTAATCTAGCAATAAACAAATGCATGAAGATTACATTAAAGTTCATGTGCTAAAACAGTTTAAACAAAATAATATAGTACTCCTTTGTGGGAAAATGTGATATAAAATTATGTATATGTATATGTGTATGTGAATGTATATGTATATATAAGCTTTTTAATTAAAAGGAAACTAATAAAATATACATCTCAGATATCAAGGTACAATCTTACATGCCAAAAACATTATTCATTTTTATTCAATCTAAACAGTAACATTTCCATTGAATATCCAATCCAGATAGCCTTACAATGTAATTATGTTGTGGAGATGTCTATGTCAATAGAAATACTAATAACCTATAACTAATTTCAATTACATTTTATTAACTGCAGGTGCACATAATCAGGAACAGTTTTATGAACTGATATAGTAAAGGTTTACGGCTATTTTAAAAGGCTTTATGATAACTCTGTTTATGAAGCAAGTAGTAACATTTCTTAATTTCTATGCCATTTTTTTAAAATGGCTAAGATTCTACACTTTTTTCTCAGTCAACATGGTTGATATTTAAGCTAGTATCATTTAGCATATTAAAACTAGTAGGTAAATTCTCAAAAACACCTTAGACTATGAAATAAAAAAGTCTGCAAGAAATTAAACCAAAATCCTCAATAAAGTAGGTGAGAGTAAGATCACCTGTGTGTACTAAATGAAAAAGGTGAAATGCCCAGAGTGATTGGATTGTGACTTGACAGACCTTCTCAGGGGCTAGTTGCCATTTATTTTTAGAAAATTCAAGGGTGGAATTACAACTCTAACTAAATCAGAAAGCAGGATTGTTAGCATATATCTCCTTAAAAATGAACACCATAACCTGGATCACATATGAACATGTGTCATTCAATGGTCTGAATAGCTCATACCTTTGATAGTAAGCTTCAGTTGCCTCTGGTGTATGATGTTTTGCGTGCGTTCTTTTGATTAATTTCTGAAACGTTAAAAAAAAAAAAGCTTTGCAATAAACCAGGTAAGAAATCCAACCAGTAACAAATCCCTGGAAACTTCCCCCCACCCTCATCTCCCCCATGAAATCCTAGATGTAGTTTCGGAAATATTTTTTTTATATATATATTAAATGAAACATCTTTTGACTGTAGTGCGATACAGCATATATGTAAAAGGCAGTAAGGTCATAGTAATTGAATCTAAATAAGTTTGCTTAGGGTTACAAAGGGCAAAGGAAAAACTTGTTCTCTCTTTCAACCCTTATATTAATTTCCCTTCAAATCAATTCCATCCAAGTCCTGTGCACTCTGGTTTACAATTCAATTGGCATTTTTAACCAGGAAGAACATTGTTTAAAAACAACTTATTTGAAAACTACAGAAAGTAATTCCATTGAGACTTGCCACTTGAGTGACACCTGTCATCTCATGATAAATGACTCCATTTTCTGCCTCTCTTGCCTTCTGCCACTCCGGCAATGGTCATTTATCATCATCTCTGTCAGCCATGGAAAGCAGCACTGACAGTGCAAGTCAGCAAACATTTAGCACATGGAACCACGCAACACAGGGAAATTATTATTGTCAGAATAATAATGGTTTAGCATAATTTATTACAGGTCCACCAAATAAGCAAAGGCTAGATGTTATTAGACAGATGGATGGGTAGGCTTGGCAGCCATCCACCGAGACTCAGGCGGTGCTTGATGGGGAAAGGGGAACATCCTCCAAACCAATCAGAAAGCTGGCAGTTCAATTACAAAGAAATAAAGGGACATTCATCATTCAATTAGGCACCTGTCAACCCTCACAAAGGAGAAAACTTCTAACCTGGTACTCCTGGGAGAAGATGCTCAGCAGAGTGGACTGCGATTGACTGGAACAAATAAAAGAAGGACAAAGTTAATTACTGGAGTGCACAGCAGAGAAACAAAAGAGAAAGGAGCTTCAAAGGTAGGCCTGCTGCCCTGTAATCTAACAGAACACGAAAACAAGTGTGGAAAAGTTGTTCCAGATGAAAACCTCAGACAAAGGCTTCCTACTGCTAGGTCAAGGAGAGAGTAAGAAAAAAAGAGTTTGTAGGGAAGGGGAAAAGAAGTTGCATGTTGCTTTGGTCATTCCTTTCCAGCTCCATAACACAAAAACTGGGGTATTGGTAGCATGTACTGAAGTTAGAAAAGAAAACATGACCATTTTCATTAATAGCTGATGCAGCTAAATTCCATTAGCTGTTGGGAACAGACTGTTTGTTCACTGGCAACATATTGAAATTCATTTTGTTAGCAGCAAGGAAACCTCTTCAGTAGCTGTCTCATATTCAGGGGTGAAACCCAGCTCTCTGTCAGAAGCAGGATATGGGACTATGGTAACATTCCTACTAAAAGTGATGTGCTTTGAAAATAGAAACTTTCACAGCAGGAAACTGAGATTCCCTGGAGTTGGTGATTTCCAAAGGCTGCCATAAACTTTATTCTTTTAAAACTCAGTGTCAAATACCTGGCAATAAAGCAAACTGAAATAACATCACTACCAGCACCCCAAAACATTTAGAAACAGGACAAGATTTTTCCATCCCTCAAAAACAGGTCATACTGCTTCCAATTGTACTCTAGGGATATATGCACCTCATCACATCTTGAAGAAAATTTGATGCGACCGAAACAAAAGACCATCTCTATGCATTAACTTTTTATTAAAGAATGTACAATGTATAATTGACATTAAGACAATTGATATTCACTATAAGAGAGCCGCACCAATTAGCTTGTTACTTTCTACGTTATGATCAACAGCACTAGAAAAATGGGAGCAGCAATCTCATGCTTGCTTTATGTGGTTCAAGGATAGTTTTACGGAAAACCTGTGGGGGGGAAAAATATTGCTTGAGAAGAATCATTATTGACACCAAACCTTGACACCAAAATTGGTCTAACAACTGCTATTCAATTTTAAGCAATCGTGCAATATACAGAAATGGCAATATTTAAAATTCATGGTAATACAAGTCTTTTCCTTTTCTCATTGAGATACCTGAGTTTTAATAATAACTAACCTGGTTGGGCAATACTTTCAAACAACAGACAGAGGAAAATTGCTAACAGACGATGCTACTATTTACATCAATTTTAGTTTAAAATAATTTAGAAAAATATTGAAAAATTGAGTGATTAATTCATTCAATAAATTCATTATTATCTTTTCTTTTCTTATAACTTAATATATTTTTAATATATCTTAAACAAACAAACAAAAAAGATTAAATGCAACCCAAAGACTAAAAATAATTAGTAGATTAAGCAAGTAGAAGATATAAGCAAGTTAGTTATATAGATAGTCCTCACTTAATGACTGATTGATTATTATTGATGCTTTTGTCCAATTGCCTTTTGAAAAAAGCACCTTTGGGACAACAATGGCCTGGATGACTGAGAATCTCTATAGACAACTGGTTGCTTACTGGCCAAAGTTATGATGGACTCAAAAAAAGTCATGGTCATTGATTTCATTTCAGACGGTTGGCAACTAGCTCATATTTATAACTGGTTGCAGCATCCCACAATCATGTCACAGTGATTTGTGATTTCCCCCCCCCCCTCATTTATGGCAAAAATTGCCCATTCAGTAGAATGGATTTGCTTAATGATGACATAGTTCACTGAGCCATATGATTCACTTAATTACTATGAACTCGCTTTATGACCATTTGTAAAAAATGGTTATAAAATTAAATCAGGTTACATTGAACCCACTTAACAACCCCAAATTCCAGATCCATTTGTGGCCCTTACTGAGGATTCCCTGTGTACAGTTTCATTTTATGTGAAATAACTGAAACTAACATTCAGCCCTCACAGCAATTCAACTAAAATATAAAGGATTTAACTTCAAACTTTCATGTTATGAAAGTCTGCATACAAGCAGAAAACATAGACGTTATGCATATAGGCCCATCAAAAGTGACAAAGCTAAATTAAAAGAAGACACTATTGTTTCCCAATGGATATCATACGATGCCACTACTTTTACTGTGCAGCAATAAAAATCAGTTGCCACACATGAATGTAGATATTGACAACATAATTACTTATTTTCTTCTGTATTATTATTGCAGTCTACTAACAGAATAATGGAGTTGGTGGTCTTTTAGTCCAATCCCCTGGTTAAGTATGGAATCCTATATCATTTCAGACAAATGGTTGTCCAATCTCTTCTTAAAAATCTCAAGTGTTGGAGCACCCACAACTTCTGGAGATAACTGATCAATTTTTCTAATTTCTCCTTAGTTGTAGGTTGGTTCTCTCCTTGATTACTTTCCAGTCATTGCTTCTTGTCTTGCTTTCAGGTGCTTTGGAGAATAGATTGACTTCGTCTTCCTAGTAGCAGTCCCTCAAATATTGGAACACTGATATCAAATCACCCCCTAGTTCTTCGTTTCATTAAATTAGACATATCCATAGTGTTGAATTTAGTATCACTTTTGTGGATTATAGGGGGATATTGCTACTGAATTAAAATACTGCTTATAGGCTCTCTACTATCATTGGTAATTCTTACCTTTTTTAAATGAAAAGTCTTAGTCATGAGTGAAAATTGACAACAATGTCTTCTTCAATATCTTCCTAATACAGCCACCTACACAAATTTTGAGTAGTTCGGAGAACTGGTAAATACCACCTCTGACTGGCCCCGCCCCCATCTATTGTCTGCCTCCTGAATCCCAGCTGATAGGGAGGAAATGGGGATTTTGCCATAACCTTCCCCTGGACTGGGGAGGGAATGGAGATTTTATAGTATCCTTTCCCTGGAATGGGGTAGGAATGGAGATTTTACAATATCCTTCCCCTGCCACATCCACCAAGCCACGCCCACCAAGCCATGCCATACCCACCAAACCACACCCACAGAACCAGTAGTAAAAAATTTTAAAACCCACCACTGGCTGGAATCTTCTTCTTTTTTTTTTTTGCAAAATATTTTTTATTTTTTCCAACATAACACATAAAATACATCTCTTTCGAGAGCGAAGTCTCGATCCAGTCATGAATAAGTACAATCGCTTACATTTTGAAAAAGCTCCATTCACAATTTCCCATTATATCTTTTAAAATTCAAAGTCAAAACATAGAAAAAATTTTAGTCATAAACTCTAATATCTTGATCAGAACCATTCTATTATATCACCACCAATTTAATTTCCAGATACACATTTAATTCATTATTATGCTCATTTATAAGTTCAATTATCGCTGGTTCTTTTCCAAGCTCTCTTCATTATACCTTTTGACATCAATATTAAAATATTAAAAAAAGAAAAAAAATATTCTAATCTCTTAGTCTAATTATTTACCTTACAATTTCTAACCACACATCGTAATTTCAGCTTAGATGCAGCTCTATTTTTTATTTCAATTAATAAATCAAAATTCAGTCCATATTTCTTAATCCCTTGACCCCTTCATCAGATCTTTAAACCTTAAAGCTTTTAGTTTTGCCTTTAGTTTTGCATATTTCATATTCTCAAATTTATCTCAAAATCCATATCCTCCTCCCTATCTCCTCCTATTACTGGCTGATTTCCAGCATATTATTGTTTGGCTGATTAACAGCATATCCTCCTTCATACCTCCAGCTTTTGTTTGGCTGATTTCCAGCATGCTTTATTTTGGCTGATTTCCAGCATAGTCACCTCCATACCTCCACCTGTTGTTGGCTAGTTTCCAACGTATTATATTTTGGCTGATTTCCAGCATAGTCTCCTCCGAACCTCCCACTATTATTTGGCTGATTTCCAGCATGTTTTGTTTTGGCTGATTTCCAGTATATTCTCCTCCGAGTCTCCTTTTCTTATTTGGCTGGTGTTACAAGCATATTTTCCTCCACACCTACATCTGTTGTTTTAGCTATTTCATTTTAACTAATTCACATATTACATAAATTGCTTTTTCAGATACCACAATTTGACTCAGCATAAATTTTAACAAATATCTTCTCATATATTTTAAGACCATCTACTTCATATTTATTTTAAGTCTCAAAAATTCATTTAAGCGTTTAGAACATTTAGAAAAATCATATTCTCATTCATTCATAGTCTTATTTCATAACCAAATACATATGTTTATATAGTCCAATTTAAAAGGAATGGAAATAAAAGGTGAAAAGGAGAAGGATAGGAAAACAAAAACAAAGGAGAAAAGAGGGAAAGTAGAAATAAAAAAGAAAAAAGTATCACTGGCTGGAATCTTCTATGGGATTGTGGATGGGGGAGATGTTTTAACACATATGGTTGTCTTCTTACTCAGTAAAATTATTATTTTTAAATTCATGGTATATGGAAGTTACAATTCATGGGTTATAATGTAAATCTTACTATATGCATAGTCTATGCTGTTCTATGCTTTCTTCTTCGTGTGCATTAAAAAGAGGTCACATGTCAATTGTTATTGTCCTATAGTGACATAAATCCACTGCCACTGATTCTTTGCTAGGCTCAATGCTATGTTAGTTTTTTTAAGATGGCTATAAAAAGTATGCTTAACTTTGGTTCTCATTATTTTCTATGGGAACTTAAACAACAAATGGAGACATCATCTCCTTGAACAACTTTTCTCTTAACTGGAAAAGCTGTCACTCATCTAATATTTGGTCTTAAAAGTTGAAAATAAAGAAACAAGGGTGGGGTTTTGTTTTTTTTCATTTCCCCATTCTTTTCTGTGGTATAAGACTTAAAATATTTCAGATTTTGTTCCATCAGAACATGACTGATTCAAATTTTTTGAATGTCCATAGCAGCCCTAAACAAAGGCACATGGAGAAAGTAATAAATTGTGGATTATGCAACACAGCACATTTGTCTGCATTTTTCTTCATTGGGGT